CTATTTTTTGACCCATTTTTGGTAATTTTAAAAATTCAAATCACCGCCAGCTAGTAATACGAACCGACTGTGATGAGCTATTATCACCGCCGGTTGCAAACTACCTGTGATGAGAATGTCATGACCACCGACAGCTTACTGCCGTGACCGAAAATCGCTAGTGATGGGCTTTACGAACCGCTTGTGTTAAGTCTGAATGTAGTAGTGACAAATTGTGGGTGATGAATCGATCAAGGTATGAGAGAACCAACCCAAAAACATTTTATCTTCCTCAATTTTTTCTTCACCACTGCATGTTTGCTTGATTCGTGTTTTATCTAGCGCTTTCTTCGGGTGGCTCCTAAACTCTGAGCTGTATTCAGGCGCCATGCCGAGTCTAGGTAGATGGTAATTTTATTGTTATCCATCTATTCGATGCTCTTAGTCTAGCTTCGTAGTAGACATATATTAAACGGGACCATTGGATTTATATGTTGGCTTTGCCAGTCGGTATGATATCGTTAGATGGTCCGTGCTGAGAGAAAAGGCTAAAGCCTAGATTTTCATGTATGTCACCCGATCAATTAGATTTCCCCTTTCAAAAAACCATGGCATGTTTGTTTTATTGCATTCATCCACCCCGTTTGCATTGCATTGCATAAAAAACTATGGTTCTCTAGTTCACCAATCAATGTTTGCGCATCCGTTTGAATGAATCTCATGTTTATCTTTTCATGCTTCCTTTTCCTACACTAGTATGGTTTGGTTTGGTCATGCTAATCGATGGTGCTTCCATAGGCTTCTTAAATTAAGTATGGTGTTTAGGTTATACAATCTACCTTAATCAAATTAGACATGGAGTCAAGTTTGATTATTGAGCCAAAAGTGCTTGTGTAGACATTGGTTGTATGCATGGACTAACCCCTGTATGTAATTATCAATTTCATGATGGTAAGTTCTTGAGATGAATTCATAACGGAGGTAAATCAAAGTTCATTTGGTGAACTTTGAATGAAACCTTGATAAAAAGAAAAGTGAATCACACTCCTACCAAGCCAAAACCACACGAAGATCACGATGGCATGGCGGAGACATAAAGTGCCACAATCCATATCCTCATCTCCGGGATTGGATAACGCGCATTCAAACCGAATTCAATGGAGAAGTCTTTGCTCAATAGACTTAAAGCGGCGAGCCCTTGCTGAAGGTAAATTGGCATTTATCTCATATTTGATTTCCAAACAACTTTTGATTTTGAATTTGGCATGTTTAGCTTTCAACCAAGATACTTTTTGCAATAAATAAATAAATAAAAATAAAGTTTGAATTTAAATGCATTTTTTAATTTTAAATCTTAATATTTGCAAATGCATTGATTTTAAAAAATATATATAATAAATAAATAAATAAATAAAAATATAAAATAATTTCCCTTTACTTTATAATAATAATAATAATAATAATAACATGACTTGAAAATGAGCTTAAGGAAATATTTGTAAAATGGCTCCTTCGGGTATTTTGTCACTAACCTTTCAGGTTTGAGCAAAAAGAACGAAGGGGCGAAGCATAAGGTAAATTCAACCAAATATCATTTCAACAATGAAGCACATTCAACGTAGAGTGCCACCATCCAAATTTGATTTTGCACATTGCAAAATTCAAGTATGGGGTGAACTACTTCTCTAAAGACATTTCATGACATGCTTCATTCATTCATTCATTTCTTTTTGGTTGTTTCTACCTTGATTTACCTTTATGCCTTGCTCACCTTGATAAAGTAAAAAATAATAATAATATTTGCTTTGAATAATAAACAGCTTTAAACTCTCTTTAACTTAGACTTATTTCTTTAGAATAAAGATATGACCTTCCTTTCTCCCACAATAAAAAAACTTGGTGCTAGACAAGTTTCTTTGGGGTATTCTTGGTCAATAACAATTATATGAACGAAGGATGAACAATGTCTACAAACATGGGTGCTGCAATATACGCTAAGGAGACGCTCCAACATACACACTTGACTTTTAGTGTTAAATGACATAAAAGTCCAAGTGTGGGGACCTGACCCTACCATGCTTTCTCTCCAGCACACTGGTTTACACTCCATCTTCTCACCCAAGCCCTACACCTATAGGTTTGATTATGTTTAAAAATGCCATACATGTCAATCAAACTTAAAATGAGAAATAAAGTCTTGCCAAATTATGAACTTAGACTTTATAAAGATTGGCTGGCATAAACTTTATTCCTAGTTCATATACATGTTACTTGTGGATACATATTTATTAAAAAACATGTCAACTAGGTTGTTGTGAAGTGAGATATGGCAAAGACTAAAGAAATACTATCTTTTCTATGTAAGCTCTTGGAGAATTTCTATTTTACTAAAACTTCAAAATTTGTACCAATACTTCTCCTCAATGGTGAAATATAATACCAAAGCCATATGATATTACACTTTGTAAACTCATGAAGCATATGCTACTTGTTATCATGTTGAGCTTTGTCAAATTGTTGTGACCCTCGAGAGATTCTCGTCATGCACCCATGATCAAGGTTCACGTACATCCAGATATAATATGCCGACTGTTACACTGAGAGTTGTGCAAAAACATGCCATCTGTCCACCAAATAAAAATACTCCATTCATATGTCATGACCCTCTCTCTCAAAAATCCTCCTTTACCAAAGAAAATGTGGGCTATGCAAAAAAAATCATGCTAAAAAAGAGCATGAAGAGAAATCCATGCTAAAAAAGCATGCGAAAAAAGAGAGAAATAATATCCATGCCAAAAGGCATGAGAGAAAAAAAGAGAGAAGGAAAAAAGAAGAAGAAAAACATAGCCCATTTTTTCTAAAATGGAAAAGCAAAAAGGGAGAGAGTCATGAAAAAGGAGTCTACACCAAAAAAGTTTAAATTTCACACACTTGCACTTCTTGATCAAAGTGTATGGCTTGCATCTCCTTAGATCCGGTTTTTGACTTAGCAATATTATGTGATGCAAGTATGTCTCTCTTTTCATCCCTACCCAAAGCTCCACATAAGCCTTTTTAGAAGTAAGATAAAAAAGAAGGCAAATTCAAAAGCCTTTGGTAAGGATATATACACCATTGAGCGACTTGAGAGTACAATTTGAGGAGAAGTATGTGCTATGCTTTTAATTTCAAAAATTACAAAAACTCCAAGTATGCTTCATAGTGGGATGGTGATGACTTGGTGTCAAAGTCGTTCCACTTTTCAACCGCTCAAGGTGACATGGTAGCCACACCAAAATCAACAGGTATGAGGAATGACATGGAATAAATTTTATGCTAGCATCATATCTTTTGAAGTCAAGCGTCATAGTTACATGTAACTTTGCTCGAGGACGAGCAGAGAACAAGTGTGGGGGAGCTTGTTGGCGGTCCCTAATGCCTAAATTTAACCACCAACTTTCAAATAAAATCCACTCAAATGAACGCCAAACTCAGAATTAGGATTTATAATTAACATATTCTATGAGTTTTGGTGATTTATCATTTGCAGAAAGATATTTCCATAAACCATGGAAAACATACCCAAATTGTGCAACAGGAGAAAGCGTAACGCAGATCCAAAACAAGCAAATGAAGGAAGGCCTACTTACCTGAGGATCCTAGGCCTAAAACCCACAAAGACGTGGCCCAAGCCCAACCAACCACCACCATGCGGAAGACGGTTGCATGCAGGTGCTACCTGGGAGCGGCCGCACCCCGCTCCGCGCCTTTCGCCTCTAGCCACCACATGTCGCCTCCTAGTGCCTCCCCCACGTCGGTTGCATGCGGGATCCCATGGAATATTCTCTAGAACCGACCTTAGGACTACTATAAATAGAGGGAGAGCCCCCTCATTCACACACACCACGAGGGCTCTCCTCATTCTCTTTGCCAAGATGTAAAAGTAGTATAGGATTACTTGGGAGTTAGGGAGAGATGCTCGAGTTCCAGAGAAGTTCTCGGAGGATTGGTATATTCTTTTATCATTCCTTTGTAAGACTCGAGTAATTATATTTTTTGTCTTCTCTAATTACTTGAATATCTTTCATGGTTATCTAGTTCATGCCTTAGTGGCTTAACTAAGTATGGTTAGTATAGTGGTTTACACCTTGGCATGGGATCTCTGCTCGCCCGAGTGCTCTAGTTATCATATGTGGCTAGAGTAGTAATCGATAGTGTAAACGTGGTGTTTAGACTATAGGTTTCCTGAGTTTGCACTCAACCCCACGGATAATTGTGGTAGCCCTAGAGGTGACAACTCTGACCAGGTCTTTGTAGTCCACCACGTTCGGGTTGGTGTTTTCATAGAGCTTTTGGCAGCCTTCCCCTGATCACTCCTTTCCAGTCTTTTCGAGAATCGGAAAGGTACTGCTGCTCAAAAGTGTTATGGTGTGATCGTTATGTCTGACTTTTGCTTAGTTAATTCCTTTGGTCTGTTCTAGAATAGAACCACGGTAATGGAGAAGTAAATAAGAACTTTGAACTCACCCGTTGTCCTCCCAACTCAGCCTGTCTACTCTTTTATCTTACTATGGAGTTGTCCTGTGTGTGTTACTTATATAAAGCTTATATTTTATCACTTACCCCCATATTAGTCCAGTCGGTATTCTAGCTAGTAGTTTCATGATGCTTAATTATCAACTTCTTTAACCATTGTATCCCTGAGGATAAATACGATACCCTGTAATACTTCTGGGTGAAGGCTACAACAGTATTCGTGCGCTTGCAGATTTCTCTGTTTGTATTAACAAATACCCACAACGTACACAGGTTGTCACCAGTTGCGATGTCTCTAAGATGGGAATGACATGAAAGACGCTACCATTGCACATCCGAAGACATTGGGTTTTCACCCTTGGTAATAGAGCGATTGTCCCGGAAAAATAGGCAAGAGTTGTATTTATACTCAAGATCAGTAACATATGCTTCATTGCTTCTATGTAAACAAAATCATGGCGGCCTTGTGATTCTTCAGAGTCGGCATTTGTATGTATTCAAACAATTCATACCGTTATCTGTTGCTTGTTTCCCAGCGTGATAACCGTCGGGAACGAGCGATCAGTCTTGCTCGCGGCAACTGTGATGACCCACGGAGCCGTGTTCTCAAGCGTCTGCGGACTAGGCCCGTCGTTCCCGGCCGCGTACACGACGGTGATCCCCTTTTGGACGGCATGCAGGGCGCCGAACGAATTCTCCTCGGGATGAGCGAGCGACAGCGAGAGCACGTCCACCCCGTCAAGGATGGCGTCGTCGATGGCCGCGAGCACGCCTGCACTGATGGCAGACCCGCCTTCTCCCCACAGGGACTTGTACATGGCAATGCGGGCGCGGGCGCGCCGCCACGCGCAGCGCCCGCGGCGACCCGTGGAAGCTGGCCGCCTCAACGACCGAGCCTGCCGTGGTGGAGGCCGTGTGCGTGCCGTGGGTGTCGATGCCCCCGGGCGACAGGTAGTCGGTCTTCGGTATCTCTTCGGGCACGCCGGCGCTGTAGAACCGCGCGCCGATGATCTTGCGGCTGCAGTTGCTGCGGTCCCAGGCCTCCCCGACTTGGCACACGCCTTTCCATCGCGAAGGCACGGGCCCGTAGCCTTGGTCGCTGAAGCTTTTCGACTCTTGCCAGATACCTGAGGGGACAGCGGGGTGTGTTGGTGGACCTTGGACTTGCACTAGACAGGTCGCCAAAAGACATGTGTTTGCAGTATGGAATCAATTCATGGATCATGATTGTGATTGGTCACTAACCGGCGTCGACGACCCCAATGATTATGTCCTCTCCGTATCTGCTTCTATGGAGTAGTCCACTGGGCATTTGGTAGTTCATCCCAAGTAAGGTGGTGTTGTCCCTCTTAAATTTTAGTCGTTGTTTTATCGAATGTTCGATACATGTATAGAGTATTAAATATGGACTAATTACGAAACTAATTGCATGTGACTAATTTGCGAGACGAATCTTTTAAACCTAATTAGTCCATGATTTGATAATGTGGTGCTACAGTAAACATATGCTAATAACGGATTAATAGGCTTAAAAAATTCATCTCGTGGAGTACTGACGGATTATATAATTTTCTTTTTTATTAGTATCTGAACACCCCATACAACATCCTTCCGACACATCTTCTAAATTTTAGTCACTGGATCAAACACCGCCTAAGTCCCAGCTACGAGTGGTTGTCGCTCTGCAGCTTCTGCTTAGATGGACACTGATGACTTCAGGAAGCTCTGCAGAGTTAATTTAGAAGCCACAAAAAGTATGGTTACTTTAACGGTGCACTGACAAATGTTCAGCTACAGTTCTAGAATGAAGTGATCAAGTGAAGAGTAAGTAATGGTGAGAAAAAAAATCCTTGAAACCGGTTAAAAAAATCCGACGGGCTGACGTTGATCTCTGTCATATCCATAATCAGGCGCTGAGGTCTTTCATGGCCAACAACGTGACGGTGCAAGTGCCAGGCCTTAAGGTGAAGAACAGCCCAGTCCAGTTCGACACCTGCCGCGGCGTGCTCGTCAGCGGCCTGTCCATTAGCTCCCCGACGCTGTGCCCCCACACCGACGGCATCCACGTCGAGAACGCCCAGGACGTCCTCATCAGCAACACCGCCGTCTCCAACTCCGACGACTGTGTGTCACCATCGGCGCCGGCACCCTCAACATGCACACTGAGAACGTCACCTCCCTGCGGCCCCGGTGGTCGGCCACGGCATGAGCATCGGGAGCCTGGGCACGCGGGCGTGCGTGGCCAACGGTGAACTGCGCGGTGATCCGGCACTCGGACAACGCCGTCCGGATCAAGACGTGGAAGGGCAGCTCCGGTTCCGGCTCCGTCCCCTTCTCCTTCGAGAACATGCACATGGACGCCATGCGCAACCCCGTCATCATCGGCCAGTATGAAACTGTTCTATCAATTTGCTTATTTAACATTATTTTATATTTGTATGAGACTCGTCCAGTTATTGCAAGTATTCGTAGTTGTTTTCAAATTTTTTTGCTTTTGTTGCAGGATGCATTCCATGTTTGGTGGTTCCCCATGCAAATGTAGTATTGAATTATTTCTCGTGGAGGAATAATTTGTATTTTCTTCAAGTGAACTGATTTAACCAAAAGCGATCGTGGCTTACGAGCAAGTGAGACGGCGAATTCCAGTTTGAGCAAAAAGACTGAAAAGACTGACCTGCAAGCTGATGAGCATGGTCTTCCGTGAGCATCGCTGCGAAGCCTGAGAAGCCATGCTCGTAGTTGTAAACCATGGAAGCCAAAGAATCTTCCTTGCTGGAAAGTAACAAGGGGACACGATCAACCATGAATTTGCACATCATTCATCAGGATCAGTGGTCTTAATAAATTTAAAGAATCAGCAAGTAACATGCTTCACTACTTTAAGAGGAGGACATGTACGTACCTTCCAAGAACATCGCTGAGTAGATCATGGTGCGAAGTGATGACATCGTTGGGGTGTCCATGTTTCACGTCGCTTAGGTATCTTCTACAACTAAAAAAAATAAAATATAAATATTTTTTAGTACGACATTCCAACGTGGTCAATCGTCCTGCACGCTGCGTTCTCCCACGGCCTCGCTCCAACACCCGTCCCTTGCGACAACATTCAAAAGGAAATAGGCCGCCACCGCCGCCGCCAAGGCCGCACAGTTCGACCCCCACCGCTCGCCTCACTCTGCGCTCAGCCCGCCGCCGCTCCCATCGCTCGCGTCCCTCTTCCCCTGCTCCAAGCAGCTGCGCGGAGAGGGAGATCAGCCGGTTGCCTCCACTCACTCGCTCCCCACCGCTGGCTGAAGAGGGGTCCATCCTCGGCTGCTCCGTCGTGCCATGCGGCCGTACGAGCGAGAGGCATACCGGACGCCGCGAGTGAGGGCAGCCGGTAGGCCGTCAACTAGGCCGTCCTAGCCTGTGGGTGCCCTTGCCGGTGGCGGTGGCATAGGTACAGTCTGTCAAAGCTCTTCCAGATCGATTTGATTCTTGATCTACGGTTCCAGCTCCATCGCAGCTCCAACCTGCTTCCAGACGTCATTGAGCTGATTGGAGTACAGGTCGAGGGGAGCATCATCGCGGCTGACCTCCTCTTTCTCATCTTACTTAGTAGGATCAGTAGTGGGCCTGTAGCCTTCTATCTGCTCCAATGGTCTAAAGCACTTTCATGTCTGTTGTTTCTGACGTGCAGGCAATCTTCAAGCCACCAAACGCGATGCGAGGTGGCATGTAGGTGTGTTTCCCACAGGTGCTGCAGCATGACCCATTCTTGTCACGTTTGCTATTGGATCATACTTCGATGCTGTAATTTTAATTTTAATTTTTTCCACGGTGTACAAATTTATGTATAGGCTGACTGATTGTGAGGGTCTTGCGGTTAAATTTCTGTGGGATTTCTGATAACTGTAAAATTTCATACAGCCTCGATACTCTGTGCCTGATTGTGAGGGTCTTGTGGTTAAATTTCTGTGGGTCTTCTGATAACTGTAAAATTTCATGCATCCTCGATACTCTATGACTTTTGTGAGGGTCTTGTGGTTAGATACTCTGGGACATTGGAGCGACATGGATTTGCAAGAAACAGGATATGGACCCTGGTTGCTGAGCATCCATCACTGAATCATGATGATAACGGCAACAGAGTTTCCGTTGACCTTATTATACTAAAGCCATCTGAACATGACCTCAAAGTGCTGGCCACATTGGTATGCATTTCTGCGCTTATCTATGTGTGTATTCCTATGACCATGCCTACTTTTTGTTACAGTTAAGTGAGGGCTACATGCCAAATTTCTGCTAAGCATTGTGTCATTGAGGTGTGTCGTCTAATGACTGAAGCTGGGAATTACATAGGAGTTGAATCAAAAGATACCTAGATCTATTTTTGTGCCCTTTGAGAACAACCCTGCACATTTTCCCTGCAAACAAATACACTATGAATTACAGTAGTCCAAGGGTGAGAGCTCAGAGAGGCAGATCATATGTCTACTAAATTGGAAAATAAAATGCCACTGTGTTATTATTACAATTTTGAAGCAAACATGCTAACTTGATGAGAAAAGCAGTGTTACTTTCTTCTTTTGTTTTAGAAGTGGATTGGATGGTTTTGATTGCACAACTGTATTATCCATTTGGGCTCTTATCTCTGTCCATACATTGGTTACATGACATTAACTAAAGCTGTCTTCCTCCATACATTCCTGCTGCAGAGAAAAATCTGTCCTCAAATGCCTATAAACAAATAATGTGCCACTGCACTCGCAATATAATGGATACATTTCTCCCAGTGATGTTCAAGTTTTTATGTCTTATAGGCATAATGCGATGGCTGATATGATTATGCAGAAATTTATAAAGGAATGCATTAGACAAGGGAATAGCTTCAGCCACGAAGACCCTACTTCCACACGTAAGTTCTTCCATCCTATGCCTCAGTGGGTTCTGCAATGTTAATATTTGTGTCTCAGAATTAGTCAGGTATTTTTTACATAACAAATGCATAGGGCACGCAACTCCTGCAAGGGAAACGAAAAAATCAGTTAAATTGTGGTCTTATTCAGAGCCCTATAGGGGTCAGATCTTTTTTCTTCCTCCCATCCTGACGCCCAGAAAATTCAGCTATGTTTTGTGGTTACTACAGTATGCATGAATTTTGGTATTAAAAAGTGTGATCTTCTTGCTAATCTGCTTTATAGGTGTTATAGTATCTGTTAAACAATAATCTCTTAGGAAATATTTAGAATGTTGTTAGTTCTAATACTATAAATTTATTAGGAATGACAATATAATTTTTTAATGAAGCACTTTAGATGGGATGTCATATTTCAGAGGAAAAATGAGCTTTAGTGTTTGTCGGAAAAAAATGCTATAGTAAAATTAAGGCTGTCCTGACCTGCACAGTTCAGATAAAAATTTTGGAAAAAAACATTTCTCCTACAACTAAAAAGACTAAAGAGTGGACAATCTCTTCGTGCGACAAAAAAGTTTCGCGTCGTCGTCCTGCCGTCCCCGTGCGATCCCCACACCGACATGTGGGCCCTGACGTGCGCGCAGCTCCCCGCGACCTCCCCATCCCGCGTCCTCTCTCTTCTTCCAGGGTTTGGCCGCCGCCATGGCGAGCCGCCCGCTCTACCCCCGCAGCCACGACCCGCACCCGCCCTCCTCCTTGCCCTTCCCGGCGGCAAAGCAACGACATCCATTGTTGTGGCTGCCGGTCGTACATCCCCACTCCCTAACCTATGACTGACCCGCGTCTCTCTTCACGGGCACCAGGCCCGTAGGCGGGAGAGGTGGGGACTAGGGATCTAGGGTTCCCGTCGGTGCCGGCGCAGACCAGTCGGATGGCGGCGGGCGCGGCCGAGAGCTTGGAGGTGGAAAGACTCCTCTTCTACACCGAAGATCTCGCGGGCGTCCTCCGCGCCAGCACCGACCGCGACGGCAATGCGCAGGTCGGTGCCGTAGCGCGGAGGCTGCTATCCGGCTATTGATCAGAGTTTGACGACCTCGAGCTGCATATCAAAGGTCCGCTTGTCACCTGTCCTGCTGTTTCTACATTTTTAGTGTTTCTCCTCGATTGACATGGCCATATAGGCGTCTTTCTGGTTTAGATTTGGGGGATTTCAGCCAATATCGCTACTAATTACAGTAATTTATTTAGTTTTTTTAGACGAGTAATTTATTTAGGTTGAATTATTTGAATATTACATGAAAGGGCATTAGATGTGCAAAGGAAACAAGGCATATCATCAATGTCATCATTTACTCACTCATGAAATCCTTTCATTTGCATAGGTGGTTTTCATGAATAAAAACAATTTAGAAGCTAGGACCCTGTCCAAACCTGCAAATGTAGCAAAAGATCCAGCTCTAGGTATACCTTTCTCGGTGATCATTCACTTGTGAAGCTTGCTTTAGACTAAAGGTGGCAACGGGCAGAAAAAATCCACGTACCCGCGGGCACCCGAACCGGTGGGCGAGGATACGGGCGCGAACCTGTGCCCGCGGGCACGAGCACGGGTATAGAGTTGTGCCCAACGGGCAAAGCTAGACGGGTAAGAAAATAGCATGTCCGCACCCGCAAACCCGCACTGACATGTGGGGCAACTGCAGAAGAGGTATATATGCTTCCGATTGTAGGGTTTCCTTCATCCCAATCCCACTCCCACCACTCCACCAGCGGCCGTCAGTCACCCACTCGACCCCACGTCCCCGCCTCCCCAACCCCAACTTGCGGTCGTAGGTCACGACTTCTGCACTCGCGGCGAGCGTGGCGCGGCCTCCTCGCCTCCTCCAATCGCGGTGATCAGCAAGCACGGCGCGACCTACTCGCCTCCTCCACTCACTGCGACCGGCGAGCGCGGTGCGGCTCCTCGCCTCCTCCACTCACGGCGCACGCCCCCTAGATCCCCAGTCGCGGGCTCGCGGCTCCCCGTCCCTGACGCCGCTACGCCGCCCGCCTGCCTCCCTACTCCGACGCCAGACACCGGCCTTCCTCACCTCCTCCACTCGCAGCGTGCACCTCCCTTAGATCCCCACTCGTGGCTCCCCGTCCCGGACACCGGCCTCCCCGTCCCCGACACCGAACGCCAGGCGCGCGCCTCTCCCAGATGGCCAGATCCCCACTTCTTGCGGGTATGCGGGCAAAACATGCCCGCGGATAGCGAGCGTGGGCACATAGTGTTGCCCGTGGCGGGTGGCGGGCGCGGGCACATAAATATCCTCGCGGGTGCGGGTTTGTGATACCTGTATCCGCGCGGATTTTACCCGTTGCCATGTTTACTCTAGACACAGAGTGTAAAGGTACACTATTAGTCAGACTTGGATAGAGGCACACATTTATTCAAATCTCTGCTGCATATATCTTTATCAAAACAGAATTAGGGCCTCAGATTACAAAACCAATAGGGAGAGAATTAACAAGAAAATTTATAGTTTCTGGTCCTTAATACCTCCATGATGAACTTTAGTTACATAATTGAGTATTGCCACTAGGTAAAATTGTACCTACATCCTGTGTAAATTTATAGTTTCTGGTTCTGTAGGAACTTCACAATAAAACAAATGAAGATACATCAATCTCAGGTCTAAAGGCAGGCTTGTTGCCTACCAATACATGCAGGTATGGAAATTACATTCTCTAACATATTTCAGTCGTACATATCTACATGTGTTGGTGTTATCTCTTCAGTGACTGACATCGAGCGGGTTCTCTTCTGCCTGTGTTGGTGTTGCCTGTTAGATTTTCCAGAGCAATAGAACCTTGTTCCCTGTTCTTTAGCATTTGATATTACTCAGGTGGGTCTTACGGACGTAGTCAAGTTTGCTTCTTCTGTCTATTTATTTCTGTTTGATTCATAATTTCCATTTTTGTGTTGGCTTCATAGATTCAGCCCACATTTTTTTCTGGGATTTGCTTGCAGAAAAGAAAAGAAAGAAATACACGAAAGTGGCTATGGGTTTCACCACTAAAATGGTG